ATCATTATGGTAGCTCCATTAGACCCACAATAGACCAACCTAAATCTTTGCATATCCATACAACCAGCTCCCACAGGAGACCTACTTCTTCCTCCTTCTGTGGGAATTTCTCATTCCTCTATTCCCCGTCCTGCCACACTCTGTAATAGAATAGAATAACAGAGTTGGAAGGGACCTTGGAGGTCTTCTAGTCCATTCCCCTGCTTAGGCAGGAAACCCTACACCACTTCAGACAAATGGCTGTCCAACATCTTCTTAGAAACCTCCAGTGTTGGAGCAACTTCACAACTTCTGGTGGCTTTTAAGAAGATGTTGGCTATCCCCTCAGATCTGCTTTGGGATGGCACCTGACTTTCTAAGACAACTGGAGAAGATCTAAAGTTGGTGCAGAATCAAAATGATTGTGTGCTTTCTGTTTTGTTAGCTGATGCTCCTGAGAGGTGGCATCAAGTCATCGTTAAGCTATTTCTTCCTGACTTGGTGCCTTTTGCTTGTGTGGAGTCCAAGAATAAGAAGGATCCGAATCCCCCCCCCCGCCCTCTTTCAAAGCCAGTTTTGATAGGAGGTCAACAAGGAGCCAACGTCATGTACCTAGATAGGCTTAGGAGAAACCCATGTTTACAGATCCTCACTCAGCTGGGGAACTCCTTGGATGACCCCGAATCGGTCACCGTATTTCAAGGGTAAAAACAGGACAGCCACTGCTCCCCACCCCCACCCCCATCCCGGAGACAGACAAAGTCAGCAGGTGCAAAATGACAAACGTCCACGGAGGCTTTCTCACTCACTCAAATTACACACACCAGCATTGGCAAGACTTGCAACCTTAGTCCCGAGCCTGCACAAACCCATTTCAACGCCCCTTAAAAATTACACGATGGATTCATGTAAAGTTTTTCGACTTCACGGATGCACTTACCGTATTTTTCGGAGTATAAGGCACACCTTTTTCCATCAGAAAAGTGGGTGAAAATCTGGGTGCGTCTTATACACTGAATACAGCATTTTTTACCTCCCAAAACCCCACCCCCTTCACCAAAATGGCTGTGCAGAGCTTTTAGGAGGCTTTCAGGATGCTCCTAGGTGCTGAGGAGAGCGTACATGAGTGAAAAATGGGCCATTTTTTGCTCACTCCCCCCCCCACTCCCAGGAGCACTCTATAAGCCTCCTAAACGCTATTCATGCCCTTTTTTTGACAAAAAATGGGCCCATTTTTGCTAAAAATGGCCTGTTCTTTGCTCATTCCCCCCCATCCCCCAGGAGCACTCTCCAAGCCTCCCAAAGGCTATTCATGCCCTTTTTGGGGGGGGGGGGACCTCAAAATTTTTCACGAAAAACAGGCCCTTTTTGGGAGGTCTGCAGAGTGCAAAAACTTTTTTAATTTGCCTTTTCAAAACCTTGCTGTGTCTTATACTCCGATGCATCTTATACTCTGAAATATGCGGTATATTGGGGGGGAGGTTTCAAAAGAAAATAAGACGGTCTTATTTTTGGGGAAAACGTAGTATCTAGGGAACCTCAGTACGATTGAAACATTTTAAAATGCATATTGGTACTTACTCAAAATGTGTCATGGGAAAAAGGAGGGTATAAACCCCGAGACTGTGAGATATCAAAATTCTCTTTTGAGCAGTTAGTTCTACATTTCTGTCTCTCTGAGAGGCACAGCCTGTTTCTAGCTCATCCTCCACCGTGATCCGAAAGGGTCCACAGAAGACACGGACAAACATAGAAAATGGCCAACCTTGGCCTTGGAAATGCCTCTTTGGTTGATTACATTGTGGTTATAACGTTTGTGTGTGTGTGAATTTTAGTGTCTTTTAAACAATACATCATTTCCTCTCTTCTGTCTCTCTCATTTTTCCCCTCCTTGCTCTCAACTCAGCTGGAAAAGAAGCAGGCCACCCCACCATTTCAGCCTCAGATCACGGATGATTATGGCTTGGATAACTTTGATACCCAGTTCACCAGTGAACCTGTGCAGTTAACTCCAGATGATGAGTAAGTGTCATTGTTTAGCCTTGAATCAAAGAAGGGAAGAGAACTTTGGGGTTACACGGTGCAGTGTTTCTCAACCTTAGCAACTTTAAACTGTGCGGACTTCAACTCCCAGAATTCCCCAGCCAGCAACTGCTGAGAAGCACTGTTCTAGTCCCAACTTTGCCCAATGTGGAATTGATTCACCCCCTGGACAGATTGCTGTCCACCTTAAATATTTTTGTTCTGACCTGGGCTTCCCAAGATCATGAAGCAGACTCCTCGTCCCAATAAAACCTCTTTTATTTTGATTAAAGGGAATTCCTCTCCCTGCAAACTCCCCTCCCCTTTCGCTCTTTATTCCCTATGGGAGGGGCCATTCACTGTCCACCTGCGCCTTTACTCCTGAGTCGGCCCTTCTTCTTTAGTGGTTCCCTTCTCCTGGCAGCTCTGCGCATGCGCACATCGGGAACAGGCTCCAGCTGTTTTTGTGCCCCACTGATATCCGACTCCGGAGGCAGCTGATAACTGTCGGACGGCCCTGGCCCCATCTCTGCCTTCGACACAGAGCCTTCCCCAGGCTCCACGACTGGCCCATGTTCCTCCCCAACCTCCTCACTATCCGAGCCTGCCACCAGCTCCCCTGGCCACGGCGGCCCACAACAATTACCTTAACTGTAAAGATTGAAAGATTGAGCTCCTATTCCTTGTTTTGGGAATTGTTGCTTTTTCTAAATGCCTCTCTCTGTACTTCCTGAGTTTTACAAGTGGTCCTTGAGTTATAACCGTTCATTTAGTGACCCTTTGGGGTTGCAACGGCACTGAAAAAAACGACTTACAACTATTTTTTCACATGACCGTTGCAGTATCCTCATGGTCACATGATCAAAATTCAGACCCTTTGGCTAACCGACTCATATTTGTGACAGTTGCAGTACCCCAAGGTCACGTGATTCCCTTTTGCGACCTTCTGACAAGCAAGGGGACGCCCGACTCACTTTACAACCATGTTACTAACTTCTAACTACTGCAGTGATTCACGTTAACAACTGTGGTATTTTTTAAAATGGTAAAATGGGGCAAAGCTCGCTTAACGTCTCGCTTACCAACAGGAATTTTGGGCTTGATTGTGGTCACAAGTCGAGGACCATCTGTATTTCCCACCCTTCTTACTGCTTAGCCAAAAGCACGCAGACTCACAAACATTGGTTATTGCAAAGAAAATGTGTGTGGGGGGGGGGGTTTCTTGTTCATTTTGACCATGATTTGCCTATTCAGCTTGCAGCAGAGGTGGTATTCAGGAGGTTCTCACCAGTTCTGGAGAACCGGTAGCGGAAATTTTGAGTAGTTCGGAGAACCGGCAAATACCACCTCTGGCTGGCCCCGCCCCCATCTATTCTCTGCTTCCTGAGTCTCAGCTGATCGGGAGGAAATGGGGATCTTACAGTATCCTTCCCCTGGAGTGGGGATGGAATAGGGATTTTACAGTATCCTTCCCCTGCCACACCACCAAGCCACGCCCACAGAACCGGTAGTAAAATCTTTTGAATCCTACCACTGGTTTGGAGCCCTTTGAGAAGACATTACAGACGAGCGTTAATTCTTCTCCTCTTTCTTCTTCCTGTCCCCAGGGATGTAATAAAAAGAATAGACCAGTCGGAGTTTGAAGGATTTGAATATATTAACCCATTGATGCTATCGACCGAGGAAACGGTATGAGAAAGAGGCACAGAGAGAACAAAATAATAATAATAATAATAATGAATGCACTTGGACATTTAATCCTGAACTACAGTATATGCATGCAAGGCTGGGGCGGGGCCACCTTAAGGTTTTGAATGGAGACCAAATGATAAGACGGCCGCTGAGAAAAACCAAGATCACGTGATTCGGGGGGGCGGCTTCCTGTTTCTTTTTTGTTTCTTTTTTTTTTTAAGTCCGGGGGAAACTGGCGGAGCTAGCTTCATGGATTCTGCACTCCGTGCCTGCTTCAACAAGGGGTTCAATGATGGTTTGTTGCATCCTTGGGGAAGAGATTCCAGATCACGTTGAAAGTAGACCAACTTCTAACGGACCTTTTTCCATGCAACAGCCTCCTATAAAACAGTCAAACATCCAGAATACAATTGCTTGTGGTGTTGAAGCTTAACTTTAGATGCCTTTTCTCACAAGTGGTACCTATCCTATGTGTCTCAGTGTGTGCGTGGGTCTGTATGTGTGTGTGTACATTCACATCTGGGTAGGCACACATGTATGCGCACACTTGCTAAATAAATAGAAATGGGGTTGTGTTTTATTAGCAACGTTAACAAATTTGGGTACAGTATTTTAAGTGCCTAAATGGATAATCTACATTAAATTATTCCATTTTTGGAACATTTGAGGAACCCTGTGAAGTTTCTGGTTATTGAAAAGAAAAGAAAAAAGTATTTTACACATGGAACCTACAACTAACAGCTGCTATCTAATATTAATCATGGTCTCAGAATGGACAGGAATCTTAGCAATAACAATTCCAAAAATTACAATTTAGCATCTTAAAACATTCTGGATTATGCTGAACGTGGGAGAAATATATATAAATATATATATATACTACCAAAATCTCATCAGAAAATTTAAATTTGCACATGGTGGATTTATGAAAATATTTGAGCAGTGCCTACAATGATTTATGTTGTATACTAGATTTTTGAATAATATTTTTATCAATGCAATATTCAAAAGGAACAATGGAAATGTAATAGATCTTAGCCTTAAAAAAATTTTTGGAAAAAAAATAAAGAATTCTAGGATATCCATCAACATACATATTTTTCTGATAAAGCACACCTCCTACTTAAAAACAACTGCTTTGAAATGTTTAGTTCTCCCAGGGGTTGTCATGGTAAATGAAACACTAACAAAAAAGTAACTCAGTGATGGGAAAGGCGACCACAGATTTTAAAAAAAATATTACCTGGATATAAAAATGTCCATTATTTCCTTTTTGGAGAACTGTGGGGTGTTTCATCGAGATAACTGCTTGTCAATTTTTGGGATTTAAAGAAAATTCAGATTGAACCAGTCCATTATTGCTAATCTAATACCATAGCCCTTTCCGAATATTGTTGGGTCGATTGCAGTTTTTGAGAATAAGGTTAAAAAAAGAAAATAAATCAGATTGACTTTACGGGATCCATTATAATGACAAGATAGGGGGTGAAAAATCCCATTAACGTCATGACTTGATAGATATCAAATAACTCCGTCTAGGATTTCTCAGGATATATAACATTGCATTGGTTGCTGTGCAGGAGACCTTACCTGCATTTGCAGTCATAAGATGCTCGTAGATTTAAGATGGGCAAATCTGGAAGGTGGATAAATCTGGCCAAGAACCATTTCGTTAAATTTCGTTTTTGGATTCTCCCCTTAGCTTGGCCGCTAATTAAAAGCACACACACACACACACACAATAACAAAAACGCTAGCACTCCCAGGCCGAGTTCTTGGAATTTCGGCTGTTTTGTTTTCCAGCAAGATTCTTAAGTCTGTTCTAACCAGCACTTATCCAGCTAGGACTATTATTGTTTTTCCTCCGGTGCTCGGGATTTAAATAACCAAGCTACTTTGCTTTTTAAGCAAAGCTTGAAAATGAGTATCCTACTTCCCCACTCCTTCTCAGCGACAAATTCAGTATTTCCTTCACTGCTCTTCTCTCTCTCCCTCTCTCTCTCTTTCCCCTTCAATTTACAGCTGAGCAGCTGGTTTTTGTAGGCATGTGACTGATCCAATGCCATCAGATTATGGAGGCAAAAAAAAACGTGAGAATACTTTTGCTCCGAACTTTGTATAACTGTCCAAACATCAAAGCAGGACTAGATACGCACTTGGTCCCAGGCATCATGAAAAAAAAAAACCAAGTCCTTGATTTATTTACAATTTAAGGCATTTTACAATGTTGCTGTGTTGCCAAATAAGTTACTGGTTAAAAAGTCGATTGCTGCTGCTCGTGTGCAATGTATAATGTTCTGTCCATGATGAAGGGGAAATTTTTTTATATAAAGTTCTTGTTTTATAAATTAAAAGAAAAATGAAGGATGTAATTAAGTGTGTGGTTTAAAAAAAAATCCTTAATATATTGCAAATGGAGCTGGTGACGATATCATTGTCTTAGTATGTAAATGAAATGTAAATGAAAACACTCTAGCTAATTTAATGATTGTAAAACAGTAAAATATGTTCTTGTAGTTTTGTATAATTAACTAGTTGAGATCTTTGGCCAGTTTTATTTGTGCAAAAAAAAGATGGTATCCTAACCAGTTAAAACAGCTAAGATCATTTATATTCTTGCACATCTATTAAAGACTTTAATGAAAATATTCCGACTGTTTTCATTAAGCAAAAATAATAGACTTTCTTCAGATGGATTACAATGTTTTATTAGTATGTTTCAGTTCCATACATCCTGCACACGAAATGTTTTCTGTTCCATTTGATTTCTTCAGAGTTGATCTCCTCAAACTGTCTGGAAAGAAACTATTATAATAAAAACAGAGTTCAAACATGAACTCTTAATTACTTTACAATAATTTGTATTTCTCTATAATTGCGCAAAGGTGGCTTACATTTCAATCTGCATGAAATTAGAGCTGTGTTCAGTTTGTTAAGGCTGAAACTATACTTTAAAATTGTGATATATTTTTTTTGACACCTGTCCTTTTAATTCCAACAAGCTGATGATATAAACTCAATTCCTCCAAATTATTGAAATATCATATTTTTCAGAGTATAAGACATACCTTTTTTCCTCAAGAGGCTGAAAATCTGGGTGCGTCTTATACATCGGATACAGCAATTTTTTTGTCTCCCGAAGCCCCGCCCCCTTCACCAAAATGGCCATGCATACCCTTATGGAGGCTTTCACAGAGCTCCTGGGGGCTGGGGAAGGCAGAAATGAGCAAAAAATGGGCCATTTTTGCACACACACCCCCAGCAGCACTCTATAAGCCTCCATAAGGCTATGCATGCAATTTTTTTTGACAAAAAACAGGCCCCTTTTTTTCTCCTTCCCCCCCCCCCCCCGAGCACTCTGCAAGCCCCCCCCCCCAGGGTATTCATGACTTTTTTTTTAAAGGGGGGGTGTTCACAATAATNAACTATGACCTGGATGACTGAGAATCTCAATAGACAAAAAAGACAGTCAACAAACCAAAAAGGGAATAAAAAAACCCAAAATACTCCCTACCAGCAATCAGCACCCAGATAAGCATAGATTAACTCCAAGTTTAACATCAGACCAACAATCAAATAAACAATACTCCAATCAAGGAACTGCCAAACAAGCCAACTGTAAGCAGCCCAACCAAAGAACCTCTAAGACCATCCCCACCAACACAGGCAGGGCAAGCTACTAGAATATAAAGGGAAAACAAACCCCACCCCTTACTAGCACTGATGATGTTACCTAGTTTGGGTAATGAAACGTCTGGAAGAAAATAACCAAGCTCTGAGAGCATCATGGACCCCTCATAAATGAGAACTGGCACTTTTCGTAACAAATGAATATACACATATTAATAAATCAGTAATTGTGAAAGTTTTGGAAAAACAGAGTGTCTAATATCTACACAAAAAAATATACTAAAGGTAGTCCTCAACTTATAACATTTGATTTAGTGACCCTTCAAAGTTACAACAGCATTGAAAATGACTTATGATCATATTTCACACTTACAACCTTTGAAGCATCCCCATAATCATGTGATCAGACGTTTGGCAACTGATTCATACTTATGACCATTGCTGTGTCCCAAGGTAATGTGATCACCTTTTGCAACCTTTTAACAAGCAAAATCAATGGGGAAGCCAGATTCACTTAAAATTGTGTATGGAATTTAACAATTGCAGTAATTCACTTAGCAACTGTGGCAAGAAAGGTAGTAAAATAGGGCAAAACTCATTTAACAAATATCCCGCTTAAAAACATAAATTTTGGACTCAATTGTGGTCATACGTTGAGGATTACCTGTAAATCACATAATAGGTAACATTTCAAAAGCAAGGAATACATGAAAACCTAAGCACTGGACAACTGTAACCAACCTGCAAACTTTAGTTACATGTAAGAACCTGCTATCAAGCACACAAGATAAAAAAACACAAGGGGAGTTAAACATATGATACAAATAAAATACGATTGTTTCTCTAGGTTATTTTAGAGCATAAAAAATAATACTTCTTTTATTTCAAGCATCTTGAACATGTATCAGTTTAAGTTGGTAGAAAATGGGTAACAGTGCAGTATATCTCTGGAACCAGATGGTATTCTACAACAAAACCACATCAGGAATTACATTTCATTTTAAAAAATCCAAATGGAGGGCTCCTTATGTTACCAATTAAACAAACTGGGTAACTCTTCCATCTTTCCTTCTTTAATGTTCAGAACAATTGATATCAAAAGATTTATCAGTGGCAAGCAACCAGAATCAATCATGAATAACAAAGTCAGTAACTTTATTATCTATCACCTATGTTATAATAATCTCAGATTGTCTTCCCCTGCAATGAAAGGATACGATTTCATGGATTTTGGGGGAAGTCAAGCTTCTGCCATTTACAGCTGGGCAAGGACTCCAAGCTATGCCCTAATTTGACCCCTTCTTCTAGCCCATCTGGCAGTTTTCCAACAACATCAATTTGAAAATATGATTTTTAAAATATGCATGCATCAATTGATAAATAATATATATAATTGATATCTTGTTGTGCTGATACCATAAACTTTTACCTGCAAAGTTTTATCAGCTCCACATGTAGCTATTTGTTGATGGTCTTGGGAAAAACAAGCATGGTAAACGGCATCTGTATGTGAATGTACAACCAAACGGTACATGTTCTTCACTGATGTTTTATTGCTAGATTATAGAAAAAATAGACATTTGAAACATTAGATATACATTAATATCTTCAATTTATCGAACTATAACAAGCCATGCAACATGTGTAAACATATTTATGTTCTATAAATAACTACCGTATTTTTCTGAGTATAAGACACACCTTTTTTCCTCAAAAGAGGCTGAAAATCTGGGTGTGTCTTATACATCGAATACAGCATTTTCTGCCTCCCGCAGCCCCGCCCCCTTCACCAAAGTGGCCATGTATAGCCTCATGAAGGCTTTGAGAGAGCTCCTGGGGGCTGGGGAGGGCAGAAATGAGTGAAAAATGGGCCGTTTTTTGCCCCCCCCCAGCACCCAGGAACACTCTATAAGCCTCCATAAGGCTATGCATGCAATTTTTTGATAAAAAACGGGCACGTTTTTGAGAAAAACGGGCTGCTTTTTGCTTATCTTTGCCCCCCACCCGAGCACTTTGCAAGGCCCCCCAAGGCTATTCATGCCTTTTATTTGAAAAAAAAATGGGCCTGTTTTCGTGAAAAACGGGCCATTTTTGGAAGGTTTGCAGAGTGCAAAAACTTTTCCCCCCCTTTTGGAAAGCTCTTTAACTGATAGATGAGAATTACATTGATCAAGTGCTGTGCCAGCAGAAACAAAGTCTTAGGTGCTGCAGATTGTCAGCGATTTCCTTCTCCAGCACATGGATAAATACACCTGGAAACATCTACCTATCTACCTACTCTCTCTCTCTCTCTCCCTCCCTACTGTATTTCTCTCTCTATCTCTTTTTATTTCTCTCT